AAAAAAGTGTATATATATATATATATTCCTCTAAGGGACCATCACTGTAACAATTACTGTGGCCATGTCTCCTCCTCTGTCCTTATCGCTGATAAAGCTTAGGGAGAAAGTCTTAGGTGCTAAAAATAACCAATATAAATTCAAGCAGAGAAAAAGGCATGAGCAGGCTGTCTCAAGTAATACAGGTATTCCATTACATACGTATGTGAAAGAAAAGAAAAGCAAACCTAGCCAGGATTCTAAAAAAGCCACAGAGGAATACTTGGCGCTGTGTCTTCTGATGAGCATCTGGTTTGTCTTCAGGGTCTCTGATGTGTGTGGCTTGCACATGACAGCTCTGTGCTAGTGCGATGCCGCAGAATACCAGAGGAAGTGCCTGGAAATACACCAATTCTTTTAAAGTTTTATTTTTTACTCTCCATTTCAGATATGGTTTTGGAGAGGCAGGGAAGCCTAAATTTGGCATTGAACCTAATGCTGAGCTTATATATGAAGTTACACTTAAGAGCTTCGAAAAGGTGAGAAAATACCAACTTCTGTACAATAGTGGTAGTTCCTCTGCACCACTTCCGATGAACTCTGTTACTGGGTGGCATAAAGAGTCGGTGTGTCATGCTTCTCTTTACCAGGTTGGTCTTGTCTCCCACACTGCTACGAGAGCATGGGACAACTGACATAGCACAGCTGATACACAACCGAAGAGCTCAGTGTTCTTATTTTGTTCCTACGTGTCAGCCTTTTTTTTTTCTTTTACTTTTTGGTTAGAATCCAAGACTTGTTCCCTTATTTGTTCCTAGACTTGTTCTTTTTGTACTTTTTTTCCTGGGTTGAGGACAAAAAGGTTCACATACTGCCAAGCAGTTCCTTAGGGGAGTGGGGCGCAGCTTCTCAGCGCTGAACGGATTGTACCCTTCTCAGGAGTCACGAAGAGGCCTGCACTGTGGCTCCAGATTATTATCCCAGTTGCCAGCCCATGGGAGCCTCTATTCTGTGTCCCACCAAGGACACAAGAAAGAATGTCTGCTAATCCTGGGCCTTTGGAAATTTTTTCACACCTGTCAAAGTAGAGAAGCAAGAGACTTTAAGTTGCCTTGAGCTCCAGAAAGAGTCTGCCTCCGTGGGTGTTTTTCCAGCCCAGGCCCACCTCTGGAGGTTCCCGGCGGTGTGAACTGGACAGACACGCAGCACATGCCTGAGCCACGGAATCTGTCAGCCAGCTACGGCCCCTGTGTGATCAACGCCCATTTCCTGGAGCTCCTCAGAAACTGCCTTTTGTGTTTCTGTTTTATCTCCACACGGTGCAGTCCCCTCCATGCTCTATACATTAAACTTTGGGCTAGGAATGTAGCCATTCATATTTTATTAGACTTCGAAAGGAAATTGTTTTCCTGTGGGCTTGAAACTGTGGGCTGAGACAGTGTGGGGAGGACTTCTGCCCCCACACGGGTCCTCCTAATCAAACCCCTCCCATAACACACGCTCTTCTCCTGGTATCACTTGTTGCCGAGCAACCTGTCACAAAGGCCTGCTAAGTCTTCACTGGCCCTTCTGTGCCGTCTTCACAGCACCTCGAGGTTTTATTAAGGAAGAAGCAAACAATCTTTAGCACATGGCTTTCCCATTTCCCTTGTTATAGAGGAACCCCACCCTCCCCTCCTCTCTGCCTGTTTAGGAGAATTCTCACTCACTGTGGTGTGCCGCAGCAGTCCTGCGTCAGCCATCTCTCCACGAGTATTCATGCCACCCTGCTAGGTATCTGCACACACGACAAGGCTTGTGATGCTGTTGGGGCAGTGCGGTTTAACTCTGCCTTGCAGTAGTAAGACTATATTTATTCTCCAGAAAGACTGAAGCCAATATGAAAAATGCAAAGGGCCCTTTTTAGCCAGGCTTTTAAATAATTAGGCTGAATTGTTCAGAGGCAACGTGGGTTGCCAAAATATTAGTATCCCCCTTATTCCTGGCTGTGGCACCAGGAAACAGACGCTTAATTATCATGTCCTGGCCCAACACACACCCACACATAACCCCCCCGCTGGAGGTGGAACCCAGGGCCTCATACATGCTAGGCAAGTGCTTTACCACTGAGCTGCACCCTACACCCTTACTAATTGTCTTTTGAGTACAGAAAATTTTGTAGTTACCCACTATACTTCATAATTTATGTGCACTAAATAGCAGTAGCCACATCTGTTACCATTTTCCCAGAAAAACCCCAATTGTTCTTTTGACTTTATGATCCTAAATTTAGCCATTCATATGGAAAATGCAGTTGTTTTGGGTTGTATCTGAGGTGGTAGAGAGTAAGGGTACCCAAAATTTAAACTAGCAGATGACCATGAGCTTATTTATTTACAGCTCTGACATGATGTTTCTCTTTTTTTTGTGTGTGTGTGTGTGTGCCAGGGATCAAACCTGGGCCCTTGCACTTGCGAGGGAGGCGGCAGAACCACTGAGCCAAATCCCTGGCCCTCTGACATGAGCTTTGTGCTCTCAGTTGTACATGAAATTCCCCAGCTACACATCTGCACTGTGGTACCATTCAGAGTCTTTGGTATATCTTGGTTTTTAGAGCAACAGGTACCTGCCCCAGAATTTTGAAAATTCTGTGTGACTATAAAACTGTGACTTGACTACTGTAGTGTTCCCATTTCAGAGTTGAAAAACAGACTTGGAAGAAAATACTTGTTCAGCTTAGAAGAGCAGTTTAGTGGCCAGGTTTGCAGGAGGGAGCTAAAGGTCCCGTCTTCATTGGCTGGCCTGGCCTTGTCGTGCAAAAAGTAACTCTTTGCAGTGCTCCACAGTTTAGGCTCTTTACTGTGCTGTGCCCACCCCACTGCCCTAGACAACATGGGTCAAGCTGCAGTGTGGCCATCATGGAAAGTGAGTTCTTGAAGCAGCAGAAAGAGCACTAGTCTAGCAGTGGCTGGCCGTGGCACACGATTGTGACAGCCAGTGTGTTTTGAGATTTGGGTTGGTTCTTCAGGGCATCAACCAGTGATTTTCCTCATGTGCTCATCTAACCATTGCCACAAATTTACACACAGGCCAAAGAATCCTGGGAGATGGACACCAAAGAAAAACTGGAGCAGGCTGCCATTGTCAAAGAAAAGGGAACTGTGTACTTCAAGGTGTGTGAGTCCCTGTACAATCCTTTCCGTTTCAAAGGATTTGATCAGGTGGCAATGAACTGTGCTGATGTTCCCTACTCTGAATTCTATCAACACTCTCCTTGGTAAGAATAAGCCCTCATTTTTACATGTCTGCCAATTCAGTCTAAAGAATGGTGAGAAAAGAGTGATTCAATACGAACAAAAATACACACACCTCGTTTTTACATTGCGGTCCAGATTGTAACCTCCTGTAAAGGCAAGACTGAGCCTGGCTTGCCCTCCTACCACTGAATCACTGAAAGCCTAAAGCATCTTGCTTAGTACATCGACAGAATAATTGTTAGCAAGTAATAGAATTCACAGGAGCAAGTGTCACATCATTTTCCTTTTCACTGTCTTGTTGAAATCATCAGGGCATGTGACAAAAGGAAAAAGAATATGCAGATTTCCTTCAAAACAAATGTGTACTTATTGAATATTCTCCCCAAAGTATTGTGTTACATGTGCTTATATGTAAATATAGCCAAGGTGATGGTTTCCTTAAGACTTGTTATTATTGCTCTTGTTTTGATTTGCTTTAGTTGGAGGGGGGCTGTACTGGGGATTGAACCCATGCCCTGTGTATGCTAGGCAGGCACTCTCTTTACTACTGAGCTATATATACAGAGCCTAAGGCCTGTTTTAATAATAACACCTCTAACCGGAAAAAAAATGTATTCTCTTTAGCTATTAGATAAGAACAGCCAATACCTCAACAAGAAGTCTTTAACGCTTACTTAATATAAACAAAAAACACATCACTACTTACCAGTATTGCCATAACTGAATGGCAAAATGAAGGTATCATCTAATGATGGCAGCTGGTACTGACACATCTCCCAGGGCTGGAGCAGACGCACAGTATCCAGGTTGGCCATGCACAGGTTTGAGAAAAAACTGACAGGAGAGGAGGGTTAGTTACCTCTGACGGCCACAATGATCCCATGAGGCATTTCAGAAATTCCTGAGTGGTACTTATCATAGGTTGCTTCTCAAAAACTCTTTTACCTGTCACGTGTAGGAAAGTGATGTTTTCTCCCTTAGATCTTAAATCTCCAGATGCAAGAAAATAAAAACCACACTTCGCTCGGTTCTAATTGGAGTGCTCTTCCCGGTGCTCGCCTGCCCCCAAGACTGCATCTTCTGCACAGCAAGCAGGAAGGGCTTGACGTAAGAGCTAGAGAGTGGGGATTTTGTCAAGGTTTCTTTCCTTTTTTCCTATCTCGTGTTTTCTTTCTGCCATTCCAATCCATGAGCAGAAATCAGTGATGTTTTTCAACAGTATAAAGCAAGGATGCATAAAAATACTTTCACAAGTCTTGTTGGAGAATCTGCTATAAGACATGCCATTGAGTTCGTAGCCTTGTCTGGAGAAAATGCTAACCCCAGTGAAACAACCAGAGCATTATGCAAGAGAGTATAATCGGCACAAAAGGAACACAGATAGACAGCAGCCTGTACACTTTCTGTTTTTCAAACTTTGAGCCAAGACCCATGATTGGGTCATCAAGTCGCTTTAGTAGGAGCTGCTACAGTGTGTAATAAGGTTAAATCTTGTTACATAAAACTTTTTTATTTTGAGTGGGTACAGGGCTGTATTTTAAAACATAGGTTTTACTGTGGTCTGTAGTCAAATTTGATGTATACAAGTTTAAATATTTATTTGTAATTAGTACACATACTGAGATAATGTGTAGGTCACCAGAAAGCACGGGGGTATGACAGAATGAGCTCTAAATGAAGAATTTGGAAAACTGGGCTTTATTGCTCTTTAGATAATTTAAAATTATTGAAACACCCAGAGATTTTTATTTTTACATGGAAAATGAGAGATTCAGGCAGTGGTTCTGCCGCCTGCCTCGCAAGTGCAAGGACCCAAGTTCGATCCCCGGTACCAAAAAGAAAGAGGGGGGGAGGGGAGGGAGAGAGAGAGAGAATATAAATGAGGGAATTACACTAGAGCATCCCAAGTTCCTTTCCAGTCCTAAATTTCTGTGAGGTGTCTGAGCTTATGAGAACAAGTTGATATTTTAAAAATTCTGTTTGAGTCTATTGAATACTTCAGCAGTACTCAAGATTCCAAATGGATTATTTTTTACCCAAATACATAATACACTAGAACCAAGAAGATTTCAGTCCAGATTATAGGTACAGAGTGATAATTCCTGCCAGGGATTTAGCTCAGAGGCACCATGCCTGCCTGGCAAGCACAAGATTCCCGGTACTGCGAGGAAAAAAGAAAGACAGGGAAAAACCAACAACAGCAGAATGATAGTCCTGGCTTCCGTAAATGATCTAACTATGCTGCCATGTGCTGTGTGACAGCGTTTCTCGTAACAGTGGACGGCTGATGTGACAAAGGTCCCAGAAGAGTATAAGGAGCTGGAAAGTTCCTGCCCCCTGCTGGTGTCAGAGCTGTGCTAGTACTGTGGTGCAGCGCGTCACTCTCCTGTGGGGTTGCAGGAGTGAACGGGCCTTTTTTTTTTTTTTTTTGGTACCAGGGATCGAACTCGGGTCCTTGCGCTTGCAAGGCAGGCAGCAGAACCACTGAGCTAAATCTCAGGCCCTCCTGTGTGCTTTTTTTTTTGGTACAGAAAATCAAACTCAGGGCCTCTTGCTGTGCCACTGAGCTACATCCTCGGCCTTATGTCTTCATCTTTAACAAGGATTTGAAGAAGTAGAGAAAAATATTTTAGAAGAAATAAACTTATAGATGGATCTAAGCACAAGATATTTTGTACAGTTTTCAGTATGTTTCTGTTTAAACTAAGTGTTATTCCAAAAGAGGGAACATTTTAAAACAGTTCATAAGGTAAAAAGGATACAGTAAGCAAAGGTTAATTTATTATTGCAAAGAATAGCATTTTTACTAGAGTGAGTATAGCTCACGTGCACCCCGTTTGTAGGTCCGCGGTAGTAGGCGGTGACTCCCTCTACCCTCCTGTGCCTCCCGTACTCTCACCTGGAGCGCCTTCCAGGCCCGCAAGCTCCTCTCATGGTGATGCCCTAAACAAGTGTACACTTTCCGCTTGTATGGGTGGAATAGTTCACGGTGTCTTTTCTGTGTCTAGATACGTTGAAATACATAGGCACCGTGTGTTACAGCTGTCTAGCGTTCAGCAGAGTAACAGGCCTTGCAGGTGCGCAGCGTAGGAGCGGGGCCACACCACACAGCCCCGAGTGCAGTGACCAAATTCCCTCCCAGTCACTTCCCAGAGTGCATCCCCATCATTATTTTATCTATCGCCCAACTTTTATATAGCTTCTGACATTTGACTAGAATATCTGCTGAGTGCAGTAAAATGTCTTCTGCTTAAAAAGTGTTAATTGATTGCTGAGCATGTTCAGTAGTGAAGTGATGCCCTGAAGCTGTATGTGATGTATAGCTGTATCCTGAGTACAACCAGAGACAGCTGGAATTGCTGATCAGTAGCAGAAACCAGCACTTAAGTAGCTGTATTACTGTGTTGCTCATTAAAGTCATAACTGCAACCATGATTTGTATATTTCATGTTATGAGCCTTCTTAAAATGACTGATCTTTGAATAAATTCTGGGTCAGCAGCCACACATATGGAACATACTATTTTTAACATGCAATTTGATAGACAAGATCTTTTAAAACATTAGTCTCGCAAAAAAATTAAGGAAAGGTTCAAAAACACTGATCTGAGGGCTGGGGATTTAGCTCAGTGCTTCCGCCGCCTGCCTCGCAAGCATAAGAACCCGAGTTTGATCCCCACCCCACCCCCCAAAAAAACACAAAACACTGACCTAAGACTTTTCTCCCAGAATTTCTCTGAACAGTTTGTGTCACTAAACACTTCCCTGAGGCACCTTCCTAATTGTACATGAAAGACCACAGCGGTGATCCTAGCTGCAGCTGTGAGCTTCAGAGTGGTGGGGGGATGGTCTGCGGCAGACACTCTGGTCCCATCAAGTCTCGGGGCAGGTGCTGTCCCCACCCCGTGCCGCCTCTTTCCAGGGTGTCTGACTTGATGCATGGTCTGTATGCAGCGTGAAAATCTGTGTTTCATGCACATCGGCTCTCCATTTGTACTGACCTGTAGGCTTGGTTTACACCTGGGAGTGTAAATCTCTTCCCCTTCCCCCTTCTTCTAAATGGGAATCATTGTGCTGATCAGACTGTGAAACCTCCTGTCAACCTCCAGACACTCATGAGAAGAAAAGTAGGAGAGGACTCTTCATTTGCCTTGAAAATAATTACCAAAAATAAGAACCAAGATCGATTATGTAAAGGTGCAAATTTCCAATGATGAATGTCATTGTATACCTAAGATGTACCAATAAAATTAATTTTTTTTAAAAAAAAAGGAAGATAATTACCAAGCACAGGGAGCAGCAGCCTGGTACTGCGCCAGGCACTGTGCAGGCAATTTCCACAGACATGGTTCTTGTCCTTCTAACTGACAGTGCCTGCGGGACACCATCTCTGACTGTCCCACCTGGGCAGTGTTTTCCCTTCCAGTTTGGCGAGAGTGCAAAATATGACCCTACAGTGCTATGGGGTTCTTGCGCCCCCTTGTGCTCCTGAGAAAGAAGGCAGTTCTTAAAGCATGCTCCCTGAGGATGACCATTCACCTGTGGAACTGTTGGAGACAAACCAAACTCTGCAAGGTTTTGACCACCCTTGCTGAACCAAGATATTAGTAATCAGTTTAGACACAAATCATTTTTGAATCTAGAAGAGTCCACCTTGCCTTTTTTCCTTCTGTGTGTGTGTGTGTGTGTGTGTGTGTGTGTGTGTGTGTGTGTTTAGGGAGAGATACTAGGGGTCGAGCCCAAGGGCACTCTGTCACTAACTTACATACCCACCGCCCTTCCTAATTATTTATTCATTTATGCATGCATACTTTGAGTCTGGGCCAGCGGGTCCGTGTCTGATGAGGACCTCTCCTTGGATTGCCCGTGGCCCCCTTCTTTCTATGTCCCACATGCCTTCCTTGGTTACACAGGGGGTGGAGTAAGAGAGGAAGGAGCTCTCTGTTCTCTCTTAATCGGGTACTTACCCATCTTAAGGGGCCTCACTCTCCTGACCTCATCTGGGCCTCTACTTCCCAGAGGGCCCCATCTCCAAGTACCGTCACCCTAGGCCTTAGGGCTACAGCGTGGAAATGGGAACGGGGGCACGCAGTGTGGTCCATAGCAGGCGTTTCTAATGAAGAGAGCTAGTTTCTTACTCCCACGTGAAGGTTGTATCACGACCTTCTGAGGCAGAGTATGACAGAGAATTTACTGCCTTTCTCCTGCATAACTTCAGCATCCGTTGCCACTGAATTTCTGCAGCAAAACTGATGAAGTCAGTCACCCCTTCCACAAACAGGTGATTTGTGAAGAAGGGTGTCCGGGGGTGGGATAGCACCCCGTGAAGACCTGGGTCCTCGTGGTCACCAGAACACCCATGACAGGACTTCCCTGCGGTGGGCACGGCTCATGACTCATACCACGCACTTGAAACCTTCATAACAGGCCCTTCTCTTAGACTCCCTCTGTCTCTTCTCACACAGCCGCTGGTTGAGGGTTGGAGTCATTGGGGGGGGAGGTGCTCCCTGCTCTGACATCAGTGGAGCTGACGTCCCGACAGGTGTGGCTGCTCTTCCGCCATCCTGTAGGGTGTGTCCTCTTCTCGGGCCTGTGGTGGCCTGTGCCGGGGAGCCCTCACCTCTGTCCCCGTTTTTACCAGCTGTTACTCCGTGTTTCCATTCATCGTAAAGCACATTGTCTCCGCCCCACACTTTCTCGTAGAGAGCATATGTGTGTACTTGCATATACATACGTATATTTATATACTTTCTATTCATATGATGCATTTGTTTACAGTTAGAATTGTCATTGGATGGGAGCAAAAATATGTGTAGGAGATTTGTCTCACACAGTTGACTAACACTTCTGTGGTTTGTGTTGTTCCATAGTTATTACTTGTACTCGCTGCTGCTGGTCAGCTACATATACTCCCATTGCCTTTAGGTCAGCCTCCTGTAGGCTGTGGACCAACTCTGGCCCACTGCCTGTTTTTGTAAGTAAAATCTCACTAGGAAACAGTAAAGAGACAGTATATAAAATAGGTGAAAACATTTGCCAGCTACTCCTGGAACAAAGTACTACTATCTAGGATCTATAAAGAACGCAAAAAAGTTAGACACCCCCCCCCGAGACCAAATGGGTAGGTGAAATGGACACATCTCAGAAAAAGAAGTACAGATGGCCAATAAATACAGGAAGAAATGTTCAACTTCTCTGGCCATTAGAGAAATGAAAATTAAAACAATACTGAGATTCTACCTTTCCCCAGAAAGAATGGCCACCATCAGGAGATCAAATAATAACAGATGCTGGTGAGACTGGTTGGGGGACGGTCCTTGTACATTGTTGGTGAGAATGTAAACTAGTACAACCTCTACAAAAGTCAGTATGCAGATTCCTCAAAACACTAAAACTTGGCCGGGGATTTAGCTCAGTGGTGCTGCCGCCTGCCTTGCAAGCAGAAGGTCCCGAGTTCGATCCCTGGTACCAAAAAAAGTAAATGAAACAAAACACTAAAACTAGAATTCCGTTTGACCCAGCTGTTACCCTTCTAGAGATATCTTTCCAAAAGGGCCGGGGATTTAGCTCGGTGGTTCCGCTGCCTACCTTGTAAGCGCAAGGACCCGAGTTCAATCCCTGGTACCAAAAAAAGAGATCTTCCCAAAAGAGTTAGAATCACAATATTACAGTGACCCATGCATAGCATGTTTATAGCAGCATGGTTCATAATAGCTAAACCTTGGAAGCAGCCTGTATGTCCATCCACAGATACACAGATGAGTGGATGGGTAAAAAAAATGATTTTTTTTCAGCTTTAATTGAGTTTATTGGTACATTTTAGGGATACAGTACAGTTACATTCATTGTTGGGATCTTGTACCTCTACATGACAGAAAAATGTATTTAAACACAATAGAGTACTCGCTATAAAAAAAGATGTATTTGGGCTGGGGATTTGGCTCTGGTTCCATTTGATTCATTTGTAGGACAGTGGATGCACCTTAAAACCATAATATTAAGTGAAATAAATCAGACAGAAGCTTAACTCGCATGGTTTTTCTTGTATGAGAAACCCAAGATCTATCTAGATTAAGGAGCAAAACAAACGATAGTAAGAAATGGAGACAGATCTTCTGAAATTGGGGAGGGAACCAAGAGGAGGGGGGGGAAGGGGACGTCGAAAGCATCAAGATGTGTTACTCCTGTGCACCCACCCCCATGAGGAGTGTAGTCATTATATAGTACAAACCCGTACTAATACAAAAGTTTTAAATAGGAGAACATTTCACTAGGACACAGCCACCTCCACTTATACACGCCGGTCCAGAGGTGCTTCTGCCCCACAAATGACAGTTGAATAGTAGCAACAGAGTCTGGTTTAGGTGGCTCGGGTTTGCTGCCTTTGGGGCTGGCTCTTGACGGCAGTATTTACTATGCAGTGCTGACCACCAGGAGAGAGGAGCAACTTCCCCTTCTGTAAACTCGGCTGTTCGCCATTCTTCTGAAAGGTGGATGAGTATTCGCACCAAGGGACGAGCCAGAGGGACAGGTGGACCGCGGGAAAGGCTGGTGCAGAGCTATGCGGCTCGGGCGGCTCGGGCGGGGGCTGGACAAGCAGTGAATCCTAGCTTTCTTTCCTCCTAGGGAGGCAAGTACATGCAGGCGGTGATTCAGTACGGGAAGATAGTATCCTGGCTAGAGATGGAGTACGGTCTGTCAGAGAAGGAGCTGAAAGCATCTGAATCCTTTCTGCTTGCTGCTTTTCTGAACCTGGCCATGTGCTACCTGAAGCTCAGAGAATATGCCAAAGCTGTGGAATGCTGTGACAAGGTAAAGGCGCCTCTGGTGTGGCCACGGCCACATGTGGTCTCTTCACTTCCTCTCCACCGAGGCTGGAGGCTTTTCCGTTTTGTATATTTATTTGCATGTTTAGGATTATTTCTCTGTGTAAGTTGGGAAATTCAAAAAGATTTTTATTACAATCAAACTTTTCTTATACTTAAGAGTACTCGTAGCCGGGCATGGTGGCGCACGCCTGTAATCCCAGCACTCGGGAGGCTGAGGCAGGAGGATCACTGAGTTTGAGACTAGCCTGGGCTGCACAGTGAGTTCCAGGTCAGTCTCAACTACATAGTGAGACCCTGTCTCAAAAAAGAAAAAAAATACTCATGATACCTTACAGATAAAAGTTTTGATAAAATTAAGCAGTTGGCATCCATGACCTTCCTTCCCCCTTGGAGTTTGCTGTCAAAGTGAGCACGCAGGGATCCCCGTGACAGCAGATTCAGGGCTCTCTGTACTGGACTGCACCCGCTCCTGGGAGGGTATATAGGCACTTCCTGTCCCTGTCACATGATACATAGGCGAATAATCTGAACGCCCACAGAGCACTTGTCAGCCCTCTCCATTTTTATGTTTCATCATTGCTGCTGTTTCCCACCTCGATAGGAGGCACTCGAGCAGTCCGACACACCGTTCTGACGTTTTTTGCCCACCTAGTACTGGCCGCATCTGGTTTCAGAGTGAATACTGCATGTTAGCTGATAGGTAACGCTGAAACTTGGATGCCTCTTAAAAGATAGACAAAGCAAGAAGAAAAATAAAAAGCAATTAATTTTATGCATTTTGTAAGGTTTTTAAAATTTTTCTTTCATTGTTGATACTGGGAAATGAATCCAAGACCTCACGAATGCCCGGCGAGTGCTCTCTGACATACATCCCAACCTTTTGTTTTGAGATAGCCTCACTATGTTGTCAAGGTTGGTCTTAAACCTGCCACCCTTCTGCCTCCACCTCCCAAGTAACAGATGACAGGCATGCACCACCCTGCCTGTCCCCCATTCACATCTTTTGACTAAACAGTCCTGTAATACCTCTATCAACCCTTTGTTCTCCTACTTGTCTTTTGTTGATTGTATCTTTCCCTAGAAAGCTTTACTATTTACATGGTCAAATCTGTCTCTTTTTTCCCCCTAGGGAAAAAGTCTTCACTAGCCTAACATTACCAAAATAATGATTATATTTTATAACTGGGGGGTGTAAATTGATCTAAGTTTTTTTTTGCATTTATAGTGTGAATAATTTTATTCTTTTCTATGTGGGTAGCCGCTGTCCCGCCCCGCCCCGTTATTACAGTGTTAGTCCTTTGCCTGCTGATTTGTTCTTATCTACAACATACATGAGTCTGTTTCTCAGTGCTCTGTTCTGTTGTGTTGACCTGTTTCTCCATGAACTAATAATCAGACTTTGAATTTCAGTAGCGTTGTAGTAAATCTTTTCCTTTGACAGGATAAGTCCTCCTTTTCTTTTCCAAAAGTGTTTCGGCCACTCTTGGCCGCTTACTTTAAAATTAAACTCTTGCGGACTCTCTCCTAAATATAAAAAATTAACTTGAAGTCATATTAAATTCAGAAATTGGCTTGAGTGGTGCATTTTGATCAGTATGTAATTGCCTAAAGCTCCTCTTTTAGTACACCTTTTCCACCTGCTTTTGTCAGAGGGCTTTACTAAGCTGTTTAATTGCTGAATTTCTTATTAAAATCCTACAAGTGAGCAGGGCTCCGCCCACCCTTTCTAAAGAGAGACCATCTGTCCCTAGGCCCTCGGACTGGACAGTGCCAACGAGAAAGGCTTGTACAGGAGGGGCGAAGCCCAGCTGCTCATGAATGAGTTCGAGTCAGCCAAGGGAGACTTCGAGAAAGTGTTGGAAATCAATCCCCAGAATAAGGCCGCCAGACTGCAGATCTCCGTGTGCCAGAAGAAGGCGAAGGAGCACAATGAGCGGGACCGAAGGATCTACGCCAACATGTTCGAGAAGTTTGCGGAGCAGGATGCAAAGGTGGGTGCGAGCTGGCCACTTGGGCTCTGCTCTGAGAGGGCTGAGGGGGACGACCTCGGGCAGACGGCCCAGGACGCACAGAACCCTGACGTGAGGCTGGCGCGCGTCCGGAAGTGTGGGAGGGCCGTCCGCTCTCGGGCACGGGCTGAGGCCCTGCATGTCCACGCTCACCATAAGCCCGTCAGGGTTTCTTCACGTGCTGCTTCGTTGTTGGGACTTGGGGTGTTTACGGGAAGCAGTGGCCCCACTGTTCACACTTGACCCTGAGAGTCGGGGGCCAGCAAGAGCAGCGCTGTCTGGAGACAGTCGCCATACCTGGTCCCCGCCCGGCCTCCCCTGCCAGCCGGACTGACATCCTTACCAAAGCAGAGGGAAAGCTCCCAGCAGGGCGATTGGTAGCACAGCCCTGCCTTACCCAGCCAGGCAATCTAAATGAAATCGTAATGGTAAAAGCCTAGAGGAGCCAAGATTGTGTACTTCTTTTTCTCTAACCTTCTTGATTTCTTATTTCTTCCTCAGGAAGAGGCCAGTAAAGCATTGAGCAAGAAGACTTTAGAGGGAGCCAGCAGTGAAAAGGGGACAGAAAGTAAAACAATGGAGGAAGGGAAACCTGAAGGCCACCTATGATGCCACGCCAAGGAGGGAAGAGATTCCAAAGAACTCAGCCCCTCCACCTTGGGCGCTCACCCAACTCAGGACTAAACAGTGTTTAGTGTAACGTTTGTTATAGTCTGTGTGATTCTGGAAGCAAACAGCACAACCAGTAGCTTCCCAAAAACACCCACCCTGCTGCTGCCCTGTGGATTCACTGAGGGCTGGCGTGGGACCACTCCAGGTGGGGCGACAGCAAGGCTGTGGGCGCAGATAGTGCCAGCGGCCTCGGTCCAGCTCATTTCAGTTTGTCAGCTCTCAGTATCCACTGCGGGACCTCTTGAGGTGATGCTAACAATTCGGCGTGGATAGATTTTACATTTGAACTTTTTTTTTTTTTTGGTAACAGGGATCGAACTCGACCTTGTGCTTGCAAGGCAGGCAGTGGTGCCACTGAGCTAAATCCTGGGCCCTACGTTTGAACTTTAATAGCACTGCAGAAAACTTTAAAAAAAAAACACGTAAAGAAATTCTCCTCTCCTAAGGGCAGGAGGGTGAGGGTGACTGAAGTGCTGTGAAAGCAGCTGGTTGCATCTTCACCAACAGAACCGCAGCAGAGGGGCCAGGGGTCCCTTCAGTCCCACACAGTGTCACAGACTCAAAGCCAGAGCCTCGGAGGCCACTCGCTTGCTGATTGGCTGCTTCCCAGCCCCTGCCCAGCCGGCATCCGCTGAGCGGGAGTCCTGCCGCGTGCGAACACCTAGAGGGTGGGGAAGGCGAGGCCAGGGCAGGAGTTCCTGGATTAGCTCCCCTGTTTGGGGTGAAATTTGGAGGTGCTGAAATGTGAGAAGAGGAGTCAGAATTGCGCTTTATCTTCCCTTGCTGTTCTTCTTAGGAAGTAATGACAGTACCTCGTACTTCCTGCCAGCTTTGCTGCTATTCAGCTTGTTTCCATTCTAAGCCTTGCTATGAAGGGTTTAAGACTTGTTCTTATGCTGTCTCTGACCTGGAGTTGATTTATGTACTTATCCATTAGGGTCTATGCGGATTTCATGTCCTTTTTTTTAATTATTGGCTCATAAACATGTGTGTTGGTTTATGGAACTTTACACTCCTCTATCACACAAAAATCGTTTCGACTTTTTACAGCTTAGTCTCTTCATTTTTTTAAAGGTCTGTGGGGTTGGAAAGTATTTGGTCTGTACCTGCCGGGTTTCAGACAGACGCTCCATCTTCCTGTGCTGCTCGCCGCTCTGTTCCGGTTAGTAGTGAAAAGGTGACACGGCTTCCTGTGCGGGTGCAGTGAACCTAAATCCCCAGTACCTGGGCACTGACTTAGAGCGAGTCCTAAGTGGCCTTTCGGGGAAGCACATGGGACTGAGCGTGGCCTTCTTCCTGCACCTAAGACAGACTCAGGAGCGCATCTGTCCACCAGAGGAACCATTTGCCTAAACCATGAACACCTCACTTTCTTAGGTCCTAAAGAACACTGGCAGTTACCCTTTTGATTTGGTTTTATTTTTATGGTTTTAAGGAAATATTTTCATTACCGTTAGGACCTTAAAATCTAAAAATCAAGTCGTTTTCTTTCATCCCAGTCTTCTCTGTGGAACAAATGGAATTAAATCATGAGGTTTTGCCTTCAATGATAACTAAAACTCTGTAATTTCCCATTTACATTTCTATCTTTCATGCAGTATTTCTTTAAAGTCCCTCTCTTGCTTAGGAAATATGAAAAGCAGAAGTGATTTTTGCTTATTTGCTTAGCTGTTCAGTATTTTCAGCTCTATTGACTGGAGCATAATTTCAATGAGGCCACTGAGATTTGAGCCTGAAAAGGTTACTTTAGCTTTTTGCAGGTAGCAAACGAGAAACTGTCCTGAAAAATCACGTGACCTGGTCAGCTGCTTCCCAAGTGTGTGTCCTGGGCCATGAGGCCCATGAGGCGGGTGTGTCTGAGGGGTGAGTGGCTCCATCAGGTGACGACAAGGGTGCCTGTCACCACTTGAGAAGAGAAACTTCGTATGTTCTTGTATCAAATTCATATTCTTACACAGTTTGCATAGAAATCAAAAGATTGTCTTCAAAGCAGTGTTAGATTGCATACAGAGTGGTCAGCATATGAAATTAAAAATTGGTTTAAAAGATCATTTAGATGCACTATTTTGTTCCTTCAATAAATTTTTTTAAATGTTATTTTCCATCGTCCTTGTTTTTGCTTAGTCTTCAGGAAAGCTTTGGTTGGAAAACCATGAGGGGGCCACCTTGAGGACATGAGGCATCAGAGCCCCAGCAGGTGACAGTGCCTTCCCTGCTCTGGCACAAAGCCTGAGGCTAGCCCTGGGGCCAGGGCAGTGGGATAACGTGTCTTTGTTAAGATGAACCAAATAGGCAAAAGGGGTTGTTTCCATGAACTGGCAGATATTCTACCTTTTAAATGATTTTAAGATAGATGCGATTTGGGAAGTGAAATTTATTCAAGTTTTTTTGAGGCAGGGACTCCCTTGTAGTTCATGTTAGTTGGGTTTGTTTGTTTGTTTTTTTTGTTTTTCCGGGATCAAACTCAGGTCCTTGCGCTTGCAAGGCAGGTGCTGGAACCACTGAGCTAAATCCCCGGCCCGGGAAATGAGATTTAATTGTACCCTTTAATAAATATGTGGAACGTAAGCGAACCCGTCTTGGGCGATGCCCATGTTGAGCATGTTTTGCTTTTCTTGCATAGTGCATTGCATCAGATACTCATCCTGCCGAACTCCAAAGGCCTGAGGAGAAGCTGTCGGCTGCACCCGTGAGTCCTGCTTTCCACACTGCACAAGGTGCGGCGGTGCGGGGAGGGCAGCGCACCTTCTGTAGGACCCTGTGGTCGGTGCAGGTTCTTTATTCCAAGTTCTTAGCTTCATCTCTGTATTTGAGTTCCTCTCCTCCCTCTGTGGTGTTAAAGTATCTGTTAATGAAATAACACATTATCTGCTTTTTTTGCCTAAGCGAAAAGTCAGTTGTCTGGTTCATAGCATCAGCAATCAATGAATGACCCATTTTTTGGTGGTGCTGGAGACTGGACCCAAGGCCTCATGCTGGTGAGACAGCTGCTGTGTGTGGAGCTGCAGCCCAGGAGAAGCGCTGCGGCTGCGTGCACTTGACCTTCACAGCGCTGCGGACCCATCCTTCACTGTGGGCCACTGGAGCCCTCTGTTCTCTGAAACCATCAGCTTCATTGGTGACAAAATTCACGGGATTTAGGATTAGTTCATGAAAATCCCAATGCTCAGAATGCCCCAACCTGGTCACTCACGCATCTGCACAGCCGTGACTGACAGGAGTGTGCAGGAGGGGACATTCTCTCGCGGCTGGAACCTGGGAGGCCTCCGGGCTCGCCTTCAGGCGCATCTGGCCGATTTCGGAGGAGCTTGGGGATGCATATGAAGAGAAAACAGGCCCAGGATGCAGCTCAGCGGTTCTGCTGCCTGCCTCGCAAGCACAAGGACCCGAGCTCAATCCCCGGTACCAAAAGGAAAAAAAAAGATGCAATAGTCTCAGCCACTTGCATTGTTTATCATCGTGACCTTAGTATGGTGCAGGAAGGGCATCCCGTGCGTAGCTAAGGAAACCTCTGACGGCTTCCGCGTGGAAACAGCTGCAGCCTGTGGAGGAGGTGGTCTGAGCACAGCCCACAGCGCAGCAGTCCTCCGTCTCCTGAAGCTGATGAAACCCTGGAAGGTTGAGCATGGGGTGGACCCTGCATGCGACACAGCCGGCCCTCGGTGACCAGGTCACCTGGCGTCCTTGCACAGATCCAAGGTCGGATGTTTTCTGGCTTCAGGGGTCACTGCACTGGCATGGGGATGGGGTCGTGGTCTGCAGACTTACCGGACACTGGGTGGACTCGGGACGCGCAGCACTTCGGAATAAAGCTGACGTGGGTATCTCGCCCGAGTCGAGGAGGCCATCTCTTGCTTCTAAGCAGGCCCTGCTTAAGGCAGATCGGGGAGTGGGCGCTTGTCTTTCCAGACCTCTTGCTGGGTCTCAGGGCCTCACCGCGTGCCCCTCAGAACCTGACGGGAGCAGGCAGAGGCAGCTGCTGTCCCACTCTGCTCACTTGGAGCATCTGTTCAATATGGGTGACTGGAGGGATCCTGGTTTTTCCTTCACATAAACTGGGGGCCAAGATCGCTGGTGCTGCATACCCACTGACGACAAGGGTAGGGCAGGCAGCTCCAAGAACGGCGCACAGGAAAAGCCCTGCGGCCACGGTGTAACTGGTCATCACTGCCACCTAGAACTCCTCCTCCTGTGTGCCAGGCGTATCACCTCTACATGGACCTCCCAGAGGGACACAGGATGTGGCTGTGCTATCATTCCCACGTTCAGAATCACACAAGGTCATGCCCTGGCTAAGCCAGGTCAGAGGGGAGGGATTCTGATCATCTTCCCCTCTTGGCTTAGTTGACACCTTATCCGTACACAAACGACTGAGCCTTCTTGAGATGTTAAATATCCTTAGCTTGGGCCCTTTAGGGTCTGTGTCCTCATAACCCCTTGCTCTAGGCACTGTGGTTTGACTTAAAGTCATCTCCCTGAAGTTTCTGTCTAAAATCAGGCCAGAAGAGCAGGCAGTTAATGATAAGACTTGGGTACCTGGCTAACCTGCTAACCTGATGGGAGGTCTTTGTGTTGTGTCTGCTCACGATGTTTCCACACTGAGGGCTCCTCATTTTTTTTTTCAGTCTAAAAATTTAAACTCACCTGTGCACTGTCACCCTCTGTATGGACCAAACTCTTCCTAAAAATGACAGTAGCCTGTACATGTAGATAGTACAGTGTGATTGTGCCCTTCAGAGACCCAGGGACTCCTCCATGACGTCGCCCCCAGCATCCACACCTCGGCACCGTTGTCCTCTAGTGTGTAGTAGGTGCTCAGCTGGCTTCCTGGCTTTTTTTTTTTTTTTTTTTTGGTGCCAGGGAATATAACTTGGGTCTTTGCACTTGCAAGGCAGGCGGCGGAACCACTGAGTCATATCCCAGGCCTTAGCTTCCTGTCCTTAGAAGGCAGCCTCTCCTCTCGGTGGCCTTTCATTCCTATGACTTCTCGAGATGGGGAGAGCAAGGTCACACTGTACTCTAGTTAACCTTGCAGCTTGATTCTGGGTCCTGAATTCCCTCGCCAAGTGATGAGCCACGGCGCCTCGATTGGGCAGTCATAACTGCCAGGTGGGCCCATGGCCTTCACACTGCATGGATCTTAACGATACCCAGTCACAACTGCTAACAGCTCAGCAGCTAGAACAGATCAGGTGGAAAGCAGAGGGCTTTGCCAGCCCCTAAATCTGCTGTGAACTCGGCACTGCAGCACTGAGGAAAAGGACCAGGTCCCAGGGCTCAGCAAGTTCACAGATGAGAAAAATGAGGTGGCTGGCTGTACCATTGCCAAATATCTGCCACCTACTGCTCCCTACGAATCAGGCACCGGAATAGGAAACTCAATTTGGCGTCTCCAGCCCTCCTGATCCACGCAGCCTCGTGGAGGCCTGGCCGGGCCAAAGCCCACCGCAGTGACTGCAGGTGGCTCTTCTGCCCACGCGCAGGGCCTGTGTGGAAGACCCCAGGCCCCACCTGAGGACGCTGGTCTCTGGCCTGGGCCCCGCTTGATGGTTTCCCCTGGTGGAAGAGTTAATCTCCTTGGAGAGGAACCCCGCTCTTCCAAGGTGACCCGGGCAGAAGTATGGGCACCAGGAGGGAGCCACATCCTCAGGCAGGGCTGCCACCTGAGCTGCCAGGTGCCCTGTGCCTCACCGGCCACTGGAAGTACTGAGTTTCAGGGAAATGTGCTTTTTGTGTGTCTGAATTAGAACTCCCGTTAGAAAGGTGTCGCTTCCAGATCATTCTGGGGAGCCCGCCCCCCCCGGCCCCAATCTTAACCATTTTAAAATGCAGCATTCTGTGTTGAGTATATTTACATTACTGTTAACCAATCTCCAGAACTTTTTTAT